ACTTTTTTTTTTTTTTTGGGGGGGGGGGGGGAGCCCAACATTTAGGATGTGTGCTAATTAGCTCCAGATACATTGCGAATGTTGTGTGGTTTAGCAAGGCCCAAGGCTTTGGGTGTATCTGGACCTAGTGAAGGTCTCAGTACATTTCGAAATGTATGGTCGGTGGGAATGTCTGTGGTCCACATTGCAGTCCAGATCCTGTGGAATGGGACCTCGCACAGCAAACCCCAATGCCAGATGCAGACAGGTGGAGTGTGGGCCTGGATGCACCACTCTTCAGATGCACAAAAGGCAAAAAATTATGGCGGTGTATCTTCCCATGTTCTAGCGGGATATTCAGTCTCATTTCGCACATTTGGAGAGTAGTGCAGCCAGCCAGTCCCTATGACTTAAATGGTTTCTGTGTTCAAGAATAGGCGCAAGAAGCTTTCCTGTGAATCTATTTTTAGTGTGCGTCCATAGCTGCCGGCTGCAATGAGCATCCCAGTGGAATACGGACGTCTTAGTTGGAAGTGGTCCCCTCTGGACACATTTTGGGATCTAGATACATTTAGAATGTCGTGTAGTGGAGCGAGGCCCTCTGTGTGCCTCGACAAAACGTTCTTAATGTGTGTATCAAGACTGAATTATAATTCAGAAACATTCATCTGGAGCGAGTCCCATAGACGTATTTAGGTTATTGCGTAGTAGAGTGAGGCCCTCTTTCTGTCCGTGTGCCCTCTCATTACAGCCTTCTCCTGCCGATTAGAATGAATGATCCACGCGAACGTATGACTCTGGACGTCCCTCCACCACTCACCAAATGTGCAAAATGAGGATGTATCTTCTGCTAGAACATGGAAATATCCTTTCATAATTTTGTCTTTTGTGCCAATGGCGAGTGGTGGAATAAGGTCCTTTTTCTTAGAGCATATTCGCAGCACTGGGACTTTCTTAGAGCACCCTGGAAATTTACATGGAAAACAAAGAAAAAACAGGAAAAAGGAGGGAAGAAGGGAAGAAAGAGGAAGCTGCGCAGTAGGAAATGCACGTGGCTCAATCAAGCTGCAGGCCGTGAAAGATGTTCTCGAAACCAAGACATGCAAGACCCCTACTTGTGTGCCTATTTTTTTTTTTTTAATTCTTTGAGGAGGCAGCACAGACCTGCTGTGTTTTATAACAGGCGGCCATTTCGTCCTGTAGGTCCAAGGTTATGGGATGCATAGCAAAAGAGGTTGCAGGTGCAGCCTCTCGCTTACACTCCGAGTACTTGGGTGATACATGGGCTGCAGGCCCTTGAAGTTGTTCTATATGAACTGACCTTTTGACTACTGGACCTTAATGGCTTGCTGGTGGTTCGACAAAGCCTGATGTGAAGAACTGGTAGGGGCATTATAGCTGTATTTGGGGTATCTTTTCGTCTAAGTACAGCAATAATGACCGTACGTTGTACTCGGGTGAAGAAGGTAGTACCTTTGACGGTTTTGAAAATAGGGAAAATTGGCAAATTTCTCAAACTCCTAAAAAGTCGGGGGCTGGGCCTGATGACCGGCGCCGTTGATCAATCTCATCTCACCGGCGGCCGTTGTTTCAAGTAGGCCTCTTGAAAGATCGGAGGCCCACCCGAGGCTCCCGGTTTTTCCAACCGCCGTCAAAGGTTTTAGTGGTTGAATCGAAAAAACTCAGTGCGCAAGTGGTGGTGCATGTCCGCAACGCGACCAGCATGTGCTTGGTGTGCGAAGTGAGGAGGTGGGGTAGGTAAAGTATGTGCTTGGTGCGCAAAGTGATTGGGTCGACTTTGTCGTGATTGGTTCATTTGATTGCATCTGGGTTAGAACTTTGGTCTGGGGTGGAACGGGATGGTGTTTGTGTAAACGCACATAGTCACAAACACGTCCAGATTCAGGCGTCGAGGAAACTTGACGCTGCTAGTTGGACTTGGCACCCGTATTGTCTTTAAGCAGTTCATGGGTATACCAACTGAGCTAGGCCCACTGCTGATTGGGTGGAGTGTAATTGAATCTGTTGTTTTGTAACTTGCATCAGAACGCAGTATCTTACAATGGCCCTCGCTGCACTACTCTCGACATGCACGAAAGACAAAAATCATGGCCGTGTATCTTTCCATATTGTAGCGGAAGATTCACTCTCGTTTTGCACATTTCAAGAGTAGCGCAGCGAGGCCCAATATCCCGGTGCCTCTGTCCAGGTCCTGACGAAGGCCGGCTGTCAGGTAGAGAACTTGGAATTCTGGCACTCTTCCTGAGGCTTTCCTTCTTTAAGGGCCTTGACATTCTCCACCGTTGGAACGCGAAAAGAAATAATGCATCTTCCCCAGAAGGTGGTGAGATGCATGATGGTAATAGTAATGGATGCATCTTGCCATTCTCTGCGGGAAGATGCACTCGGTACTCTTTTTCATTTGGACAGTGGTTTGGGGAGGCCCTTATTCGTTCGGCTTTAGGTTCTGATTACTCTGACAGAGACCAGGTGAGGCGTTTGGATTCGGTTTAACAGAGTGCAGGGAAGAGTAGTTGCCATGTAGAAAACGGATGCATGTACCCATTCTTTTGGGAAGATGCATTCGGACTCTTTTTTCGCTTGGGCAGTGGTGTGGCCAGGTCCGTGTCTGTCCGTGTCTGTGGGGCTTTAGGTTCTGATCACGCTGACAGAGACGAGGTGAGGTGTCTGGATCCCGATTGACAGCGTGCAGGTGAAAGGGCCTCGCTGCATTACTCTCCTAATGTGCAAAATGAGACCGAATCGGCCTCTGTTTTGTCTTTTGTGCATGTGGAGAGTAGTGCAGCGAGGCCCAAAATACCAACACAGCCAGGTAATCATGGCGCTGTGGGGGCTTTCAGGTGAAATTACTGCCGATGTACTCTTATGTTTGATCTAATGCCGGGAGTTGATTGGCCTTCCGGGCCGGCCCCACGTAGTAGCTATAACCATGCCCCTAACTCTTCTACTGTGTGCACAGTAGTGCTGTCACGTAGCTTTTGATACCTCGTTCGCAGTATAACTCGATGCCGACAACCTGGAGCCTTAACCTGAGCTGAAGGGTTGGAATATTTTATTTAGTTGATGCAGATGACCTGAAGAATATTTTATTTTAGTTGATTGGTTTGTTTTGATGGGTTTGATCGATGATTTTCTTGTTGTATGGTTCTTCTTACAACTGTGTTTTTTTTTTTTTTTGGTTGTCACGCAGAGGACTTTGTTACAGGACTGGAGGACTTTCAAAAGGCACTCGGATATCTCGAGGAGCTGCTCCCTTCGGACGACAGAGCAATTGCGGCAGTGTATCCTCTAAACGCAGAAAATATTCCAACTCACACGAGTCGTGAAAAAGAAGAGCAAACAAAAATAAAAACATGTCAACAGGAAGAGAAGCAAGAATAAATAAAAACATGTCAACAGGTGCGTGTGTGTGTGTGTGTGCGTGTGTGCGTGTGTGTGTGTGTGTGTGTGTGTGTGTGTGTGTGTGTGTGTGTTGTAATTCTCTCCCATGTTCTCCACAAATCATAACAAACCATCCATACGGAGAAAAAAAGTGTAGATACTACTAGATAGACAATATAATAGAAAACGCAAGGTTGGCGACGTTTGTGTGGTTCGAGCGCCAAGTGTTCACACACCTGTCTGCTGCGGAAGCGGCACGTTTGAACACCTCATGAGGAGTCGGTGAAACTCCGATGAAACAGTTTGTCACAGCCCCTCGTGTGTTGTCCTCTTCTCCCTCTCTTCCTACAGTTTACGGGGCAGCTCTGTTTGATGATATATGCATATATTTATGTCATACCCATTAACGGGTGTTTGTGTGTTTGTGTGTGTGTGTGTGTGTGTGTGTGTGTGGGTTTGCGTGAGAGCATTGCTTGGGCATGTTTTGACACGTAGTCTGAATTATCTCCTGCAATCTCTCTCTCTCTCTCTCTCTCTCATTCTGACGGGAGGCATGTGGGAATAATATGTTATTCCCAGTGATGGTCAGTGCAAGGATGAAGGGTTCAGGTTTGAGTGTGTGGTCTTTTTTTTTGTGTTGGCTCTTGCCTGCGTTCCATGATCTGAACTACTGATACAGTTGCGCCGTTGAGAAGTAAGGGATGGCTCTGGCCGTTTCTGTTCATGGTGTGGGAGTGCTCCGTAAAGACATGACTTCTGGTACATCTTCCTAAAATAGTATTGCCTCTGTTGCGCTATGGGGAGGCCCTTATTCGTTCTGCTTTATGTTCTGATCACTCCGACAGTACAATGTTTTTCCTAAAATGGTATTGCCTCTGTTGCGCTCCTGACGGTACAATGTTTTTGTTACAAGCACGGTACGATTTCCTAAAACATTGAATGGCGTTGTGGATGTTGGGGTTCAGCGCTAAAAAAATGATATTATTTCCAGCTTGGCATGTTGTTTGATTATTAAGCTGTTCCTGTTGTGGTGGTGTGTACAAACTTTTCGTAAACTCGTATGAGGATCTGTGAGGATTTATTTTTCCCCGTAGGCCTTTCGTGTTGTGGTGGCGTGGAAGCGTGATTTCCTTGACTCCTGATGGATGTACACAGCTGCTTTAAGATGGCATCAGCACATCAACTTGCTTTGCACCCCCAGGAGGCATTAAGCTTCTGCCAGAGAGCCATTGCGGTGGTTGAGTTGAGGCTGAAACATCTGGAGGAGGAGAAGGGGTCCAAGGGGAAGGAGAAGGAAGGAGAGGCTCCTAAGGTCGCTGAGGGCGAGACTAAACCTGATGAGCCTTTGAGCGAGGTCGACGAGCTGAAGTTTGTCTTGCAAGAAATGAGAGACAAGGTGAGCCGACAGAAGCTGCAAGTATGTGATGTGAGCTTTTTGAGTTTCCAGTGCAATAATAAAAGATGGGAGACAGACAAGGACTAGAGAAGACTAGGAGAAGATGAGACGGGGCTAAAGATGGTGGAATTATGTTTGAAACTAGTTGTTGGTATCTTTTTCAGCCAAAGAAGCGGCAGAGAGGAGTGTGGCTTCACCTGCTGGAAAGCGGTCCAGCGTCCCATATACAACAAGGACTTTGAATATCTTGGAAACGTAGCCGTACTACTCATTTGACAGATTCGGGTTAGTTCTTTTTGATTTTTTTTATAATTAAAGTATGCTATAATAGCAGCTATATTTTATTCTTTCATATATCTCATCTTCTTGCCAGTACTCATCTGAGAGATCCGGGTTAGTTTTCTTTGTTTTATTTTTATAATTTAAGTATGCTATCATAGCACCTATATTTTATTCTCCCATATATCTCATCTTCTTGCCAGTGCTCATCTGAGAGATCCGGGTTACTTGGTGTTGGACTACGGGCCTCGCTGCATTACTCTCGAAATGTGCAAAACGAGAGCGAATCTTCCGCTAGAACATGGAAAGATACACGGACATGATTTTTGTCTTTGTGCATTTCAAGAGTAGTGCAGCGAGGCCCTATAGAAAACACGGTTTCGAGAGTGGTGTGGTGTGGCAAGCCCCTGTGATTCATAAATGACAACAGGGAAGAGGATAAGATGAGAGGTGAAAGTCGGCAATTCAAGAATGAGAGGTGAAAGTCGGCAATTCAAGAATGGCAGAAGACAAAACGGGAACGACAAAGAAGCAAGTCTCTGTTTTCGGTAGGCTGGGCTCAAAGCATCATATGTTTGGGCATTGGGCTGCTGGATTTCACTTGATCTCAACCCCCCACCCCCCAGCTGATGCTCGATTTCTCCCAGTTATGTAGCAAGATAGCATGAGAAACAGAGTTGTAGGCGGAGAAATGGTGTGGAAGGGGAGAGGTGGGATGATGTGAAGGTGGTAGGGTTGTGTTTGGTGTCGTGGCTGGATGATAGGAATGTGCGTATCAAATCTGGGAGGAGGAATTGTTGATGAGAAAGTGGTAGGGATGTTGTGTGAACTGTGCAGCTGATCGTATGTTTGTGTGCCTTGGCCTCTGTCTTGTTGGGCTTGGGGTGTGCAGGAAGAGGAGTTAAAGGACTTTGCGGCGCGACCGACGGTTATGGAAGCTCTCAAGGCGCAAGATCCCGATCTTGCCAGCAAAATGCAGCAGGCATTTGCTGCAGCTGCAGGCCTGGTGAGCAATGGCGTACCTGAGGGAGATGCCACGGCTGCGAGCGCAGCGATTGCAATGTCTGGATTCGACGCACCGAAGCTGTCTGCCAACCAACAGGATCTGGGAGTCGTCGGGCGTGGAAAGGCCAGAATTACCCCTGCTGGTGCCCCGAGCGCGGGAGCAAGCGCAGCGGCGTTTCAAGGAGATGGATCGGGTGCGGGTGCTCTTCCGGCCCCCACGGTCACCGGCAAGAGGCGAACGCTGGAGCAGATCGTAGAGGGAATGGCGAGTGTCGCCGGAGAAGCCAGTGCTGAGGTTCCCGTGGACACAGTGAAGGCCGGTTCTGCAGCTGCTGATGACGCACACCCTGCGAAGAAGACGAAGGTGGATGAGCCAGCCGCCGCGTCGAACGGAACGGTGGCAACGGATGGGCCTATGGCTGTCGACCCGCCATCCGTGGCAGGCGAGGGTGCTGCTGCGCAGTGAAGTGTATAGGTGAGGACTGCTGCTTGTAGGATGATTACTTGTAGAGGTGGGTGATCTTTCGGACATTTATGGTCTTGGCAGTTGGGATAACTGCCTAGGTGAGAATGGCATGAGGTCTTGTCGACCCATGATGACCCCCGGGCGTGAGTGAGTAGGTGGACAGGTAAGTACTGTAGAGTTTTCTGAACAGACATAGATGCGTTAGGATTGCGAACGATGGGGCCATTCCTACCAACCCAACCCCCCAACCCAACCCCCCCAACCCCCCCCCAAACCCCCCTTTCCCCCGTGCTCCTATCCCTGCCAAGCAACCTTTGCTCGTCCCTTTTCTATCCTTCCTGACGATGGGTGGCAGACGGGTGTCATCTCGAACCTCCCATCGCTCCTTGTATCTTGAAGTCTTTGCCGACAAGATAGCATGCATGCCAAACCGCTTTGTGGGGAGTGCGAGATCTCCTGAGAGCGACGTATGTGGGCCAGTAGAAACTCTACTGCCGTTGTAACAAAGATGAACACACATACACGCAGACGCACACAGAGAGAGAAAGAGAGAAAGAGAGAGAGAGAGAGAGAGAGAGAGAGAGAGAGAGAGAGAGGTTCATGAACTGCTGCTTCAGCGACTGTTATGATCTGTGGTTGGCGAAGGGGGGTGCTTGTTACTTCTGCTTCAGCGACTGTTATGATCTTTGGTGGGCGGAGGGGGGTGCTTGTGACTGCTGTGTTTATATATGGTCTGTTGTAGGTCCACCGGCAAGCAGGGGAGGAATGTTTACCGCGTGTAGAGTTTGTTTTTTGTACACGTCCAGAGCGCGAGGTGGAGAAGGTGTGTTGTGAAAGAGAACACTAAAAGGACCTTCGCTTGTTTTTTGTTGCTGAGGGTATGGAGATTTTGTGAAGGGATTCTGAGTCTCTGACGTTTGACTTTTTTAACCATTTTTGTGGACGTTTCGGTTTTGCGCTTTCGGTTCTGTTGATCGGACTTATTTGATGATGTATTCAAACATTTTGTGCTTTCGTGGTTTTTTATTAAGTGTTCATTGTGTGTCGGTGATGCTTGTCCTCGGGAAGGTCCTCGGGAAGGGAAGGAAGGCGCGCACCTCTTTTCTTCGCTCCTTCCCTTGTGGGGCTGAAAATTTGCACCGTCTCGATGCGGACAATATATGGGATGGAGATACCAACTTACCTGCATTGGGGATGGGATGCGGTTTTTACGTCGTCTGGAGCGATGGGATTGGTTGGGGTTTTCTCCGGATGCCGATGACAATTGTGCGTTTGTGGTCAGGTCAGGTTTTCCATCTCAGAGTCTGTATATTGGGGTGTGCATTTGTGACCCGGTCAGGTGTTCCGTCTGCGAATCTGGTCATGTTCTAGCGGGAAGTTCATTCTCATTTTGCCGGGCGCATCTGGTCATGTTCTAGCGGGTGTATTCACTGTATTCTGAAATTCGGCGATGACATTACCGAAATTCACGGAAATGTTGAAGGAATTAAAATTTTAATAACAACAAGGTGCAGTTGTGACACCGAAGGGCCTCGCCACACCAGTCTCGAAATGTGAAAAAGACAACTTTGCTGGGCGCATCTGGCCATGTTCTAGCGGCAAGTTCATTCTCGTTTTGCACATTTCGAGAGTGGTGTCGTGATGCCGGGAAACAGTTTTGTTACTTCTGTTGGGATTTGCCAACATAATTTCTGATTGAAGAACAGAAATTCTTCTTGTATGTGGAATGTGTTCTCTTGATTGTTCTTGGCGTGAAATATATTGAATGACATTTACCGATTTTTTATTGTTATTATTTTTTTGGTTAGACATTACCGAAATTCTGTTGATGGCTGGTGAGGTGAGATCTTTGATTGACAAACAGAAAGTGAAGAGTGGTTTTTTCTTTTTTTTTAAGAAAAAGACGTCGAGTTTTGAAAGGATTCAACAGATGTGTCAATTTTCGCTGAACAATGACTGCAGGATTGTCAGTGATTATATAATAATTTATTTTGTTCATCTGGTTGCGTCTGGAATTGAAAGTCGGGTCGTTGTTGTTTTTTTTGTTTTTTGTGTTTTGGGGTCGTCGCTTTACTGACGTCCTGTCCAGATTTGGCAGGTAATTGAATTGGTTGGGCTTAAAGAACTGTGGCACGTCACAGCCCCGAGTCCTGATATGGCAAATCCCAGTCAATTATTACTATTATTACTATTAATATTAATATAAGAAGCATCACAGACCAAGTGTTAACGTGCTGAATCTTCCTGATGTAACAACGTTAGGTGCAAACAAACGCACCCTGTTTTTTTTTTATTAAGCCTACTTTCCACCCACGGGTAATATGGTTTCCTGATCTTCGCTTTTTTTTCTTTTTTTCTTTTTTTTTGAATGTGTACTGTGGTCTCCTGATCGTCCCTTTTTTGTTGAGCACTTCTTTTTGTTTCTTGAAGTACAGCGTTGTTACTTTTCAAATGTGCTTTTTTTTTTTTCTTTTTTTTTTGAAAGTGTGATGGCCTTGAGGTATTATCATCGGACAAACCAGCCCAGGTAAATTCAATCTTGTGTCTAGTCTGACACCGACTGGGTGGCCTTTTTAGCTCAGGGTGGCCTTAATATTGTCCCCCTTCAGGGAACCCCCAATATGGGGACACCGGCAGCAGAGGGACAGAGCATCATCTGACTGGCCAGTCGCTATGCGTTCCTGATTACCCCTTCTTCCCCTATGAATATCAGCAGAGACTGCTTTTCAGTGCCAATTGGTGGGTGGGTGGGGAGGGGGGGGGAAAACCAACGGGCTATCTCGAGGTGGTGGGTGCCAAGCATGCCCAGTATTGTATATGAGGCCAATGGGGATTGAACCCAAGACCCCTCCTGAATGCCACTTGCGTGCCTTGCCAACTGAGCTAGGCCGCTGGATACATTAATTTTAATTTTAAACAACTGCACAAGAGTTCCTTTCTTAATTTAGTCGTGCCAAAGTATTTTCCTTTTTTTTGAAGTAAAGGATTGTTATTTTTTAACTGTGCCTTAAATGAAGTAAGGATTTCCTTTTTTTGATTTTGTTGCCCAGGGGTCTAGTCCCACCTACAGCGTTGAGTTTTCTCAACGCTGCGCTTTCTATCACGTGTGGCATGGTGGGACGGATGTATTGCGAATCTAACGGTATCAAAATACAGGCCCTTTTCGTTTGGCCATTTTGTAGAATTTTTCTTTGACGTGAAATCCATTTTGTAGTATGCGTTGGCCCTTTTCGTTTGGGCGGGAAGCCATTTTCCATTGAGAAAACTACCCTACCGAGGGTAGGGTACATTTCTCCGAGTTATGTTATCAAAAACAAGGAGAAAAGCTGTTTCTAGCGTTTTTTTCAGTTTTTTTATTTTTTGTTTTGAATTCATTAATGTAGAAATGGCGTCACACCGTTAGGTGGGACCAGACCCCGCAAGTAGAATGTTTTTTTTTTTTTTTTTTTTATAATATAAGGCCCTGCTGAGTCAAGTGCCTTATATTTACAACAAAAAAAAAAGGTAACGCCCCGTGAAACTGAATGTGGTTCGTTGTTGAGAGAAGGCAAGTGGATCTGTTCAGGTCTAATGTCTTCCTGGAACATGAAGTCCTCTGGAAACGAGTGTACTGTTCAGGTCTACTGTCTTTCCGGCTTGGTACGGCGATGAGAAGGGTGCGTTGTCCGACTTTTGTTTCAGGGAAGACTGTAGCAGCATATTACAGAGTGTCTGCCACGAAGAAAGGCGGCGATGAGGTAGTTGGATGTCATCTTCGTTGTGTTTCTTTTTCTAAAACTACACATTATTCTTCTCTCAGATTGTGCTTTCACGTTTCACCATCTACCTATCAGTATTCTTTAAGCACCAGTACAGCTCACATCGGCCCGCGGGTGTCCTGCTGAAACCTGCACCGCTTCGGAGGCTGCCGATAGTAATTTTACAAAGGCGCCCCACGCTGCGTGGCCCCTCCGAGTTTTGCTTGTGGCAACAGAAACTTCCTGCAACGCTGGGGCCGTGTACTTGCGGTTTAAGGCTATAGCATAGCTATGCATCTGCAAGCATATAGCTATGTATCTGCATACCTGCTAGCATATAGCTATGTATCTGTGAGCTTATAGCCATCCCTGCAAGTATAGCTATGTATCTTGGAGCACATAGCCATCCCTGCAAGCATGCCTTCATCTGCAACCATATAGTGACCCCTGCAAGCAAAGCTACATTGATTGTTGAAGGGGGTATTGCATCTTACCCCTTGCCCTAGGTGGTGTAGGTTGCTGGGCTCCAGCCACCAGGTGGGGGTCTGGTGAATGCGAAGGAGCGTTTTGCCAGTAGCTGTGCCTCCATTTTCATTGTCCCCCACCCCGCCCCATTGAGTCGTAGCAATGTTTAATGCCAGCATCAGCGCACAGACTAACACTACCCGGTGACGCTCACACTGCTACCAAAGACCCTAAGAATACCGATCAGAGGTATTAAGCAGAACATCTCACAAAGTGTGCGGCAGGATCGTGGGGCTTGAACCCACAACCTTCTGAATGCTCCTTAAGTGCCTAATGCGCCCTTGTCATTAAACCGAGCTACTGACTTCACCCGAATAGAACGCCCGGTCACTATCTCTCATCTGGACCGAAAGGTGGCCAAATACAACTATAACGACTGTGCGTTCTATGAAGTAAAGACGGTATTGTTTCAACTGGCGGAATGAACGGGCGCCAGTAGGAGAAGGCAATGCTGTCGCAAGATTGGAAGAAGCTTTGGCCCATTCGACAGGGATTCCGTTTTGCGTTTCTGGCATTTCTGTTTTTTTTTCTTCTTTTTTTTTTTTTTTTGAAAGCTCTTGTGTAAGCTCTCCATTCCGATGGTGGTAAGAGAACCACCAGAATTGAGGGCTTATCTGTCGGGCTGCTCCATCTATTGGTGGGGAGCGGCACGTGCTGGAAACCAGGTCCAGCGTCACATTGATGCAATTCACAACACTCCAGTTTGCAATCGTTGTTCCCTAGGCTGTGCTTATTCCCTTGTCCTTCCGGGTCCCCACCCCTTACGAATTTGGACAAACATATTCTGCAGCCCCCCACATACCTCAATACAATCTGCAGATCCTGAAAGACCTTTAAATCTTTGGGCAGTACTTCCTAGAGTTGTGCCTGTTAACGTGCCATGATTTTAGGAAATGTGCGGGCTACTACAGGAGCGCCCAAATTCATCTGACTAGAAACGTTTCTACTCTTTTTTTTCCCGCAGCCGATAGCTGCTAAGTACTGGTGGTTTAAACCCCTTTACCCGATGCCATCATCCAAATTCCATGATTGCCCTGTACTCCGGCCTTCACCTCCAACCATCTTCCGTAGCCCTTCAGTATCGAGGAGGAGAGCGTGTTTTCCTGTTCCTAGCTCCTCCTAGAACCATGAAGGTCCTATATTCTGCTGTAGCTGTGTACGGCGTATCACTGATCATTGCCGTCTTGTCATCAAGGCTGCACTCTTCTTCCACAGACTCTGCTCCCCCTGGCCTGTGGCGACACAGCATGAGTTGTCACTCCAGTTATTGTGGCTTTCCGTTGCCAATCGATCCTGCAGTCCCATTCGGATCGTCCTGTCAATCCAAGCCGTTAGGAGCCACACAGTTGCCAATCAGGAAGAGCGGGATGGGTGCAACGAGTTTGGCAGAGCAGACGGGGAAAGGGGGGGCGACTGGGCAGGCGGCACAGGGGTAGGGAGCAGCACAAAACGGGGTTGGAGGTACGGGACCTGGAAGTCGACGATTACGTCGGGGATGTATCAGAGGCTTGTGGTCCTTCGACGACGTACGCTCTGTCTTTGTCTCTAGAGAGAGAGAGATGTCTCTATAGAGAGAGAGAGATGTCTCTATAGAGAGAGAGAGAGACAGACAGACAGACTCGCTGCTCATGAAACGGACCGCCGACAGCCTGTCCTAGTCGCGATAGGGGGACCGGATGCCACCGGGCCTATTGCAAGCTGAGGACGGAACGGCCACACTTTGGATTCCTTTACCATCGCCAGTTTGCTTCATGAAAGATAAGACCAACAGACGATTCTAATGATTTTTATTTTTTCGGGAACAAAAAGAGAGATTGTATTATATTTTTCAAACTAGACAAAATTATTTTGTTTGGGTTTTGTGTGTTCGTTTTTGTCCTGAATTTTGTGGCCTGCCCCAATGGATCCGCGTTGCCAACTGTTCTTTGAACCGTGCGGGAGGTCCACCCTGGTCATTGAACCCGTCGTTTCCACATTCAGGCCATTGCACTTGGTACCGCTACACTCTATGAGAGCATGGGCAATTTGAGGGCAACTGGTCGGACCACCCCCCGCCGTTTTCAGCCCTGTGGTCCCTGAATGCCAATTTGTGTTGTCGGGGGGAGTGGTGGTTTAAGAAAGGGCCGAATCAGGAATCCCTTATATCACGCAACAGGGAGACTCGTTTAGGTACACCACTGTTGGATGAGCAAGTTGTCGATCTGGGCCAGGTCCCCCCCAGCGCCCCTCCCGTTCTTCCCTGCCCCTCTTTCTCCCTGTGTTTTGCCCCCACTTCCCCGTCTAGGTTTCCCCTTTTTTTCGCCATCATTTGCACCCGTCCGTTTTGTTGCAGTTTGATCTTGCACTAATGGTATCCTTTCCATTTCC